GGGGTTAGGTGTAAACGGGGCTGCTTATATGGGCCAATAGACCAATTGCATTCTTGTGTTTCCTGGCAGTTGATACGTTTTGTTCTGACCAGCCACCAACTGTTCTTCCTATAGAAAGCCGCTACTTGTGCCAGAGATCGTTCTCTTCCTCTAAAGAAGCGGTTCCCAAAGTTAACAATACGAACAGTCACGCTCTCAATGTTTATCGTGGAGCCGCGGACCTTGACTCAAGTAATTGTGTAAAAGACTCGCCACCCAGTATAGGACTCGGAGCAGATGAGGCTGAGCTGTGGATCAATTATAGTAGAGGACACAATGGATATAGGTTTTTGTGTTTAATGATAATTTCAGACAAAAACAAGAGGATTTTATTCTATGGCTCTTTTCTTGCATTTTACCCATAACTAAGGTATCGTGAGCTGGGAATCAGAAAACTATTAGAAAACGAATTATTGCATTTGTTGCCACCAACCGAATCTTGGGAATTTTATTTTTGCAATAAACAGCTTAGACAATTCTAAGACACTTTTCCCCTATGACGTTTCCCCCACAAACGAACTAGAATAGGTTAGGTAGGCTTGGTTGGTTGGTTAACTAATTAGAAATACGTGGTTGATAATACATAAATACTACTGTATATCATTACTTCCATTACATAAATAATGCACGGTCAAAATAGTCCAAAACAGTCTGTCAGGCCATTTTGCCTAGATCGGTAATTTTGCAGCTGCTTTTTTTAAAGGCATTAACACGTGCAAAGTTCTTTAATAAACTTACGATCAATAAACCTTTACAGTCAGGTCTATTTGGTTTAAAATGGGTACTCGCTTAGACGCCACATGTCTTATTAGATAAAAACCATAAATGTGGGTTTTTCTAAATCACTTACTTTAGTTAAACATTTGATTAGCGCTGGCAGTTGTAGCACCTGGTTGGCCTTGGTACAGTATATACGGCATCACTGCAGACAGTGTCCTATCCCAGTGAAACGGTCTCTGGTAACTTGTGTATGAATCCTACGAGAGCTGAGGTAAATTCAGCTGAGGCGAATTTTCCAACACGACTTTCATGTCTAGGTGTGGCCTCGGATTGTGTCTCTCTCAGATGATGATGAAAATGAAAAAAAGTGGCAAATGAATTTGCTATGAGAGAGGCGAGGAAAGAGATAAGGAAAGAATAGAAACAGGAAGTAAAGTAGTAGCGAGTAATAGCAGGTGCGCTATCCACCTAGCTGAGTCCATGTTATTAGTTGGACGGAGGCCATACACAGCACGCGTCTACTCGCTCAAAAGAGGCTGGGAAGAGGGTGGGGGTGTTAAGCTAGCTATGCATTCATTAGTGTGATGTGTATTAATTTATGTTAGTTAAATAGTAGTGTTATTTGTTCACATATGTATAAAGTAGACACTTTTTTCATAATTGTTTATTTGCTCGATGACGTGGGCTGTTTTTAGTGCCATCATCTGTTTGGCGTTGTCTGAATGTCGGATGATTTGGGTGACGTTATCGGTATAGGCTATGTATTCTCCGTGGGTAGGAGGAGGCATGTCCGACGTGTATATCGTGTAGTGTTGGCGAGAGGTTACTTCCCTGTGGTACTCCGCTGTACAGCTTGATGCTTGGGGAAGTTGCACCTGGCAGACGATCGGAAATGTCAGGGAACGCACCTACTGTCAGGAGAGAGCGGCCAACCCACTGGAACGCTATCTCCTCGACTGCAAAGTCACACAAAGTCTCCGAAACAGAATTCAAAACTTCCAAGAAGAACACACAACACCAGCGGCTACTCTAACCCGAAAGGCCCAAACAAACCTCAGTCACCACTTCTCTGGGTAATCACACGATACCCACCACCCTGATAGTTTAGGAAGTATCCTCCCCCGGCAAGTGCGGACCCCAGTTCGGGGGTCACGCCACTCCGAAACTGACCACGTCCAAGAGTGGGGGTTAGTGGTAAGCGTTCACTGACCGAGGGCCAGCTCACACTTGCAAACCTGCAGTATCCTTTCATATCTGCAGGTAGAACAACCGCCCTCCCCAATCCCATATCGCTGGTGAACCAATTATTCCAGGCACCAGTAAAATAAACAAACTCATACTCCAGCATCTACCAATCAACATGATACACCAACTCAGAAACATTTTAATGCATCACTCGCCTCTGGCTACTTCATACAAAAAGAGGTAAATCCCCCACACAAGTATCAAACTACAGTCCAATTTCTCTTCTAGAAACACCGGAAAAAGCCATGGATAAAATCACGAATCACTAACTGAGAACACACCTTGAGCTTGAAGAGAAATACAATCCCAGGCATTGCCAACGCAATGCACATTAGAGATCAATGTAACGAAGTATTATGGGACGTAGCAAAAGCATTCCAAGACAAAGGTGGGTGTTGGTCCAGACTACCGGCGTGTTTTGTATGGAGAGCATCATATCTGGTGTGTCTGTGAAGATGGCCATCGCTTTCGACTTGGCTGGATTTATCTTGAGTGCAAGTCTGTTGCACTCTTCTTCTATAAGTTGGAGTGCGTGTTGACTAGTCAGTTTCCTCCTCTTACTATGAGCTGTAAGTCGTCTGCATAGCAGAGGAACTTAGCTGTTTGTCTGAAAGGTAATCTGACTAGATTTTCTATCATGACATTGAACAGCGTTGAGCTGAGGATGCCTCCTTGTGGGGTTCCGTGCTCGTGGACCCTGTAGCTTGACGTTGCCCCCTGAGGTGTACTCTTGCTTCTCTCTGGGTGAGGTAATTCTGGATCCACCCGAGAAACCTTCCTTTGACGCCATTTTCGGTGAGTGTCGTTATAAAGGCCAGTGGATTTGCTAGTTCGAAAGCCTTCTCCAGGTCGAGGAAGACCACCAGAGCTGGTTTATTGTCGACTGTGCTGAGTATCTCGGCAATATTGTTGACTGTGCCGGTGTTCTCGGTGTAAGCAATAATGTGAAGGTGTTACCTGCCGACTTTCCACTTGAGTGATGAGAGCCATTCTTTCTCCCGTCTTCGCTCCGCAGGTGAGGAGGGAGATGGGTCTTGGTTTGTATGGTTCTCTGGGCTTTGGAATGGGCTGTATATCTGCCTTCTTCCATTCCGGTGGAAGACTGTGTGCTGTCCATGAAGCGTTGATGACTTGTAGCAAAGCCTCGTGCCCGGCTTCTCCGGCATGGGAAAGTATGGAGTAGGTTATCCTGTCGGCCCCTGGTGCTGTGTACTTGCTTCGTTTTATCGACTTCTGGATTTCTTGCTGGTTGAATGGTCTGCCGGTGTCATCTTCAACATTGCAGGCCTCTTCGATCATCTGGAGTCTGGTCTGTCGCAGACGCCGTTGTGTTTCCCCCGCATGTCTCGGGAGGTTAGGTTTTATAGCAATTGCCCTGGACAGCCATTCACCGACAACTCCTCTTCTAGGCAAGACACCACATACTATCGGGATCCTTCCCCTATCTCTAACCTTCCCTAGCGCCTCCATATACCCCTTGAAAAGTTCCTCACTCCTAACCTTTCCTATGTAGTTACCTTCTACACCAAGACACACTACTGGCTTGGTACCCTTCCCTGACAATACCCTATCCATCCTCTCAGCTACATCATGCCTTATCCCAGCCCCAGAAAAACATACCATAGTCCTACTTTTCCTATCTCTTGCCCAAAAAGTCCTATCTAAGAACCACACCAACTTGGATTCACTGGTAGGGGTTACTGCACTCCACACCCTGGTCAGCTTTCCTGAGTCTGACCCTAGTCCCCTTGGAGAAAACCCACTCTCCACCCATGCTCCTCCTGACCCTCCTTCTCAGGTGTAGCAGGACACCTACCTGAAGGAGTTCAGTCATGAGGGCTTTGTTCTGCCCTTTAAAACGACTCCATATTTTCTTTTACTTTGACAACACAGCATACATACATCGCCTCTGACACTTGATTTTTTTGGGGTTTTCATTTAAGGTTCTTTTTAATTATTATTATTATTATTATCATTATTACCATTATTATTATTATTTTCGCCCCCAAGGCCCTGATGTGGGTCATTGACCAATGCCTTGGGACGAGGAAGGAATAAAGGAAGGCTTTTCCACTTGTGTTTGACCTAAATATACGACCCCAGCATATACCTAGATCACGCGCACCTACAGTGATTTACTTGCATATATATATATATGCACCTTAGCTTTCGTCTTTATTCAAGACATTTTCAGAGGCAACTGGATTACATGGACAGAGAGAGGCTCAAATATACAGGGTGACCTTAAAAACATGAGGTCAGGTCATAATGCTGTCATCCACTAATCCCCACACCAACACACACGTAGAGGAGCTTAAGAGAAGAGGGGTGACGTGACTATTCAGGTCAGTTCAAAAATAAAGGACCCACAAAATAACTATCATACACCTAGATCAAAGGTTTTCAAAGTATTTTTAACCTGAGGAGCTGCAACAAGGAGACCCAACACAGACTCTCCCTAACACACATCTCATACTAAGGAACACAAACACCTCGTAAACATAATTACATTTATTCCTTCAAATACAATATAAAAGTCGTCACATTTTTAACTACAAAGTAAATTAACATTGATATAAATTCTACAAAGTTTATCATGTAAAACAATAAAATGTCTAGACAAATTATATATATATATACAGTATATGTATGCTTGTATACATCGTCATCACTTAACATTAACACAGTTGTATTTATAATTATGTATGATCAGAAAGCTAAAATAGGACTAAACATATCAACCGACATATAACGTTTTATCACGAATAATCTTTGGTGATTGTAAATCTGTATATCGTTCATGTCGACACTGCAAGGAACACGCCACCACTCATATCATCTTGTACAATAATCACCTAAAGTACAACAATAAACAAGACAATATACCTTGCGTGCTAAAACCACACGCGACATATACACTGACTGGGTGAATGCTGGTGTCACGAGAGACATTGTCATTACGTATTTTCTCCACCCATACCATTTTTATTTCTATGCTAGTCTTTCGGATGTGCAGCTGCAACGTGGCGTTTGAGGTAATCAGCTCGACTAAAAGCACAGCTACACATTTGACATTTGTAACGTTTATTTGAACCATGGCACTTCAGATGTCTCTTGAGATGCCCCTTTGTTGTCGCTGTAATGCCACACTCTGGACAAATGGATTTGAACTTTGGATTGAATGTCTGTGATGCAGGTGGGCGGTTTAGCTGACTATGGGCGAGACTCATGGGAACCATTTGACACGCCTGGCTGCCATCTGTCATTTGCATGATGAAATAATTGCCGGATGTAGAAGTGGTAGAAGGTAGAATGTACAGAGGTGGGAGTGTAGGTTGACGAGAGGAAGGTGGGAGAGGGAAAGAAGTGTTGGAAGAGTCTGGTTGGCTAGCATGGCTAACGGTGCACACAGAAGCTGTAAGGGAGGCGTCACAGCCACTTCGGTTAATGTTGTACTCAGCGGACATGTGGCTGTTAGAAGAGTGGACAGGTGGACCTGTAGTGGAGGGTTGGTAGCCTCCAGCACCGTAATCTGGGAACCCGCTAACATTTTCTTTGCTGGTCTGTGATGGACTGTTGGCTGCCAATGTACCTGGAAGATCAAATATAATTAACCAACATGACACAAAAAGGCGCAGAAAATAAAAAAATATATAATAGAGTAAAATATAGTCAGGCTTATTCTCACTATTCTTAAAACTTTCATCAACTTTACACTCACATTGATATTTGTTGTTATAAGATATATGTCATTTTCATCGTTCCTCAGTAGATAAATGAGAGCATTTACTACTTACAGAAGTAGATAAACAGTTATTGTAGAGTTTACCGACAAGAAATGCGACATGCGATCTTCAGAACTAACTCCAGTACTTACTATCAAGAACAGCAGCAAAAGTTTGTGGATTGAAGTCTTCTTGTGAACATTTAAGAAACTTCCACGAGGACGCCAGTAGGCTCTCACCTCCAACGGTACTACTGTTGGAAGGTTCAAGGTGTCCAACTTGGCCCATGGTGTAGCCCTGAGCGTTTGAAGGATCGGGGTGGCCAGGCTGACTTGTACTGTAAATAGACGCTGTTATGGCATTATAGCCACCAAGGTTATTGTCGGACTCAGCGGACATGTGGCCAGCTGGCCTGGTAGATGAGTGAACAGGTGGACTTCTGGTGGAGTGTTGGTGGCCTCCAACACCGTAATCTGGGAACCCGCCAACAATTTCTTTCGTGGTCTGCAATAGACTGTTTGCTGCCACTGTACCTGGAGGATGAACGTTTATTTTAATATATGAGAGAGAGAGACAAGCACACACAAACACCAGTGCACAGAAGTTCACTCATGTTAAAAGTGCTAAAAGACAGTTTTATTCACAACAGTTATCTAATTATCTCCAAAAAGTTACCATTGGAAAGAACTTTTTTGAACAATTTTTGAATATCTTTCTTACTACCTTTCATTAACTTTTTTCTTCTCTCGAATGGTGACAATTTGTTCTCCCTTAGTTATGACCACCAACCTCTCATCCCACTAATACCTCGTCATTTTGTAAGATTCATATTCTCTTGTATCCACTGATCTAAATTGAACTTTAACTGACAAGATAAATTTGCGAATGATAAGAAATTAACAATTAGTGGGTCACTGACAACACCGGGCCACACTAACCCCACTGGGATACTGACAACACTGGAACACTAAAAACACTGGTACAACTGACAACACTGGGACCCTGACAATAATAGAACAGTAATAACACTACAACAATAACAACACTAGGATACTGACAACACTGGGACCCTGACAATAATAGAACAGTAATAACACTACAACAATAACAACACTAGGATACTGACAACACTGGGACCCTGACAATAATAGAACAGTAATAACACTACAACAATAACAACACTAGGATACTGACAACACTGGGACCCTGACAATAATAGAACAGTAATAACACTACAACAATAACAACACTAGGATACTGACAACACTGGGACCCTGACAATAATAGAACAGTAATAACACTACAACAATAACAACACTGGGATACTGACAACACTGGGACCCTGACAACACGGGGACAATGACAAAACCGGGGAACAGATGGACAAGGGAACATTACCACTGACTTTCATCAACCTTATATTTATATCAAGAGTTGTTGTTATAAGATTTGTGACTTGTTTATCGTTTTAGTGAGAAAGATTATAGTGTGTTTATCAGTTACAGAAATAAATAAACTAGTATTGCGTCGACTATTGACAAGAAATATTATATGTGGACTTGAGAACTAACTCGAGTACTTACCATCAACAACATGAACAGCTTGTGAGTACTTTGTGGGGGAGACCGGGGAGTCGTCACAGAAGATGATGTCTTGAAAGAAGTGTTTAACAAGCTCCTGTGAGGACGCCAAAAGAAGATCGCTCTTGGTACACGACTCCTCCCCTTCATGGTCCTGTAGGAACTGACGATAACGAATATTATTAACATTTACTTCTATTTGATTGTAACAAGACCAAAAACAACTGACACAAATAAGACAAACACTCTGCTGGTGTTACCGAATAATATTACATAACAAACGTACAGGAATCTTTACAGCTTACATTCAAAAGATTTGTCTGACCCCGCCCCAACATCGTCATCCTCACTATACCAACCAACTGGGAACCGTGTACATGGCTGACAGGATTAATTTAGAGTAACCTTGGCCAGTTATTTTTTTCTTTGCAAAGTAAAATTCACAATTATGACTACAGCTGAGAGTCTTCAATCTTCATCATAGTGACACATTAGGACCTTCGCACTACATTTATGAACTGGTAATATATATATACAAGTATACTCTTTCTAACATAAATACACATTTATGACAACCAGGGGAGACAAAATCGTCTCGATAATTAAGCTATATTTAGTGGTCTGATGGACGGCATCTCGCATCCACTTACTATATCCACAACCTGGCTACAACCCCACAACAACAACTTTACAGCCACTGGTAGATGCCTATATGGGTTCATAGATGAGGACAAGAAACTAAAAAAAATGAGATGAGCTAACCTGCAGGAGTGGGTGTAGGAGCAGTCTTAAATGTATCACTGCCGACCAAGTCTGCCATGACGTAAATGTATCACTAACTTTAGCACACGCGATAGAGTCCAGGTTCCGTTCGTCAATATTCTCAGAAGCAGAGACGCCTTCCCTTTATCCTTCCTCGTCGCCAGATGTGACCCCTCTTTGACCTGATCCCTCGGTGACCTTCAGCCAATCACATGCCACCTTACCTTTTTGGGTTTATTACCAAAGATCCTCCACCACGACACAGTCTCATTCACTAGCTCAACCTCGGACATCTTTATATATACAATCTGTACATAGGTATCTAAGCAATTTGTATATTCGAAATATACAAGTTACCCGAAAATATATAATAAATCATATTAGTAGTAGGTAGTAGGCAGCTACCAAACAGGGAGGTACTACCGCCTGGGAAGATATTGGAAGCATAATGTGTTGTCTAATGGTAGACCCTGCTGCCATATGGCATCACGAAAATTGTGACCAAGTCCCAGGTTGCTCATCTGTCTTTTTACCTCATTTACACACAATTGCAGGTCTCAGTTGTTTCTCTTACTTGACAGCGTTTCTCACTATTGATTTTTTCTTCTCTTTTTTTATTTCTTTATAGTTCTTTATTATGTTTATTATTATTATTACAGTATTATTATTATTATTATTATTACAGTGTTATTATTATTATTACAGTGTTATTATTATTAATATTATTATTATATATAACTTTTTATACTAAATTTTATTTACTATAAATAATTATTATGTTTTCGTCCCCCAGGCTGCTGATCTGACTTTCTGCCTCATTTACACACAATTGCAGGTTTTCAATTGATTCTCTTACTGTTGATAACACAACAAACTGTACTTATAAGAACATAAGAATGGAGGAAACTGCAGCGGGCAGTCCCATTTACACACAACTCCTGTTGCTCATATTTCCATCCAAACTATGTTTAAAGTTATCAAGCGTATTCGAGTTAATGATGATGTTTGGTAACTTGCTCCATTCATCCACTACTCTATTTCTAAACCAATGTTTACCTATTTCGCTTCTAAATCTAAATTTGTCTAATTTATAACCATTGTTACAAGTTCGCTATTGGTTGGATAGCTTGAATACCTTTGTAATGTCCCCTTTGTTTAGCCCTGACTTCCATTTATACACCTTTATCATACCGCCCCTCACTGTACGTCTCTCGAGGGAGTGCAAATTAAGATGCTCTAACCTGTCTCTGTATTTAAGGTCCCTAATGCCCGGGATTAGTCTGGTCATTCTCCTCTGAAATCTTTCAAAGGATTCTATATCTAGTCTGTAATACGGTGACGAGAATTGAACTGCGTAATCACAAGCACAAGATATAGTTTTAGGATGACCTCTCTAGTCCTGTAACTAACACTCCTTTGTATGAACCCAAGTACTTTATTAGCCTTGTTTCGAGCAAATACACACTGTTTACCTGGCTTAAGATTCCTACTTATCATTACTCGTAAATCTTTCCCACATTCGGATTTGTCTATAACATCGTTGTTCATCTGATATCTGGTTTCTCTGTTTCCATCTCTTGACTGAATAGTTTACATTTGTCCACATTGAATTTCATCTGGCATTTTCAGACTATTCGATATATTTGTTTAGATCTTCCTGTTGTTTTGCGGGGTCTTCGTCTGATTTGTTTACACGCCATATTTTAGTGCCATCAGCAAATTTACTTACGTTGCTGTCTACGCCGATATCTATGTCGTTTATGTATATAATAAATAATAATGGTCCAAGTACTGAGCCTTGGGATACTCCACCAGTGACGTCACTCCAATCGGATTTAATGCCGCTAATGTTCACTCGCTGTTTCCTGTAATGTAACTACTCACTAATCCATTTTAGAATATCTCCTCCAATGTTTTTAAATTAACTCATCTACAGTACTTTATACGTGATGACAACAGGAATAAAACACTGTAGACATGTTAGAGGAGATCTAAAATGAAGGCTAAAAAAAATATACGAGCCAGAGATGGGGAGGGACTATAAGAAGCAAAGAAAATAAGATCATATATGAGGAAGAAGTAAATAATGTGGGTAGAGTATGTTAAGTAACTGTACAACGATAATCAGGGAGTTGATGTGAGAAACGAAAGGAAATAAAACAGTATAAGTGAAACACTGATGAAAGAAGAATAAGATCTGAACTTGTATGGAGAAACTGAGATGGTAAATTCCACCCAGCCACAGATATTCGGAGAGCGATTTATAATGGTGTAAGATAACTCTTAAATGGGGCAGGTATTGAGCTTACCTGACCTCACCGGGAACACTAATCACCAAAAGTATTATAAACTTTGTCAGGTAGACACTCTTTGTTGTCATGTCCAGCAACTGTGTCCTAATGGCGAAGTGTGCTGCTCCCCAAATTTATATTACTGTAAACATTACAGTAACTCCAAATTACATTTTCAGTATCTTCTAAGAACCAGATATAATTAAAGACACTGAATATGACTGTCATTTGGATGTTTGTCTCTCAAAAATAAGCTGAATTTTTTTCTAGGGTTTGAGTTGTAATTTTCTTCGACTTTAGCAAGGATTGTGAAGGATCCCGAAACAGATTAATTAAACGCTGGTACACGGCGAAAATTGATGGCGATATTGGGAAATATTTAGAGAAAGGCATAAATAAGCTTTTAGAATTGACCGAAAACTGGGAAATGCTGTTTGATACATTATTTTGTCGGCTATAAGTGTTGGGTAAGAGTTAGTGTCAAGATACACTCAAAACAAAAATCATAACAGCACGTCAATATCACTCATGTGCCATACACTGGAGTTGTATGTAATGTGATTTATTATATATTTTCGGATGATTTGTATATTTCACTCATATAAATTGCTTAGAAAACTATATACGCAATGCACATTAGAGATCAATGCAACGAAGTATTATGGGACGTAGCAAAAGCATTCAACAAGGTCTGGTGGCTCTTAGGGCTCAAATACAAAATAATCAACCAAGCTCAACAACATTACTCCTCTTCTTTGCAACTTCCCCAAGCATCAAGCTGTACAGCGGAGTACCACAGGGAAGTAACCTCTCGCCAACACTCTACACGATATACACGTCGGACATGCTACCTCCTTCCTACCCAAGGAGAATACACAGCGTATAACGATGACGTTACCCAAATCATCCGACATTCAGGCAAGGCCAAACAGTTGATGGTACGAAAAACAGCCCACGTCACCGAGCAAATAAATAATTATGAGAAAAGAGAAAAATGTTTTATTTCCTTTCGTTTCTCACCTCAACTCCCTGATTATCGTTATGCAGTTAGTTAACAGACACTACCCACATTATTGACTTCTTCGTCATATACGATCTTATTTTCTTTGCTTCTTATAGTCCCTCTCCATCTCTTGTTCGTATAATTGGATCACCTGAAGATTCATCACCCCAGGATATCCCACCTGAACAATTATCACCCTGCCAAACTCTGGGGTGACAATTCTTCAGGTGATCCCCAAAAAAACTTTAATATAATAATAAGAACATAAGAAAATAAGGAGTCTGCAATAGGCCGGTTGGCCTGTGCATGGCAGCTCCTGTCGAGAGTTACTACCACTCTTTATCATCCATGAATCTATCTAGCCTCCTTTTGAAACTTTCCAGAGTTCCCGCACTTACTACAAAGTTGCTAAGCTTGTTCCACTCGCCCCCCACCCTATTTGTGAACCAGTTTCTTCCTATCTCCCTCCTAAACCTAAACTTATCCAACTTGAATCCGTTGCTCCGAGTCCTCTCCTGCTCGGATATTATAAGAACTTTATATATATCCCTTTATTGATTTCTTTCACCCACTTAAATACTTCTATCATATCTCCCCGCACTCTTCGTATTTTTAGGGAATGCAAGTTAAGTTTCTTTAACCTATCTTCATATGGAAGGTTTCTAACTCCCGGAATCATTTTTGTCATTCTTCGCTGCACCGACTTTAGTGAATTTATATCCATTCTATAATAGGGGCACCAGAACTGAACCGCATAATGGAAGGCTTTTGTCCAACGGGGGTTGGGGGGAGGGGTTGTCAGGGGATTTTGACCGGTGGGTTTTGTCCGGCACTCGGCTGTGAGGTGAGGTTAGAGGTTTGTTAGTCAGTTAGTTAGTAGAGTCAGCGGTTGTGATTTTACACTAATATTACTCTGCATAAGTTATTACCTCCTCCCCTGCACCTCCTAACATCCTCTACCTGATCCCACATTACCTGGTCGGATCACCTGAAGAATCGTTACCCCCAGAGTTAGGCAGGTGACCATTCTTCAGGTGAGGTCAGGACCCTCCATGGTGGTCAATCTTCAGACCTAACCTAACCTAACCTACCCATTGTAATATGCATCGTGTATTTTGGAATATTGAGTAAAGTATTTTGTATTTAGTTGTGTATATTTTGCAATATTATCTATATCAAAGGGTAGGGTGATGATTCTTCAGGTGATCCAACTAGTCTCCCTTACCTGACCACCACATTACCTGGTCTTCCCTACCTGACTCCAACTCACCTAACCTGAACCTACCT